AGATGTCTTCTTATCTTAGATGACTTTGCTTCTCATCCTTTGTTAAAGAATAGAGAACAAGATATGTGTCGAATTCTTAAGAGCTCAGACACTTTAACATCTCAGTTTCATTTGTGTACAGACAGCAAAGAGTTTAAGTAAGGATGTTAAAAGAATACTTTACTGACATTATACTTTTCCCCGGATTGTCCGAAGACGATTTCATGGAACTTATGAAAGAGTCCATGGCAGGTAAGTTTGACAGACATGAACTATGGGAGAAGTACAAAGTCATACAAGACCCTCATACTTCTTTCAGAATTCATATCTACGCAAACAAAGTTCAAATTGTAAAAAAGTCAAGCTTGAAAAATAAAGAGTTCATCTACCCTACTTGTTTGAAGTTGTCAAAATACTCTGTTATTTTTTCCTTAACAATGGCAAATCTTTTGAAGGTAAGAATTGTACAACCTTTCATATCATAGTGTGTTTGAGGTAACGTATCTTGAACTATTTGTTTCACATCTTCATTTGGGGTCATTGAAATCGGTAAGTTTTTCGCGATAGAACCAATTTCTGTCAGATTTGTAAATCTTAGCAAGGTCGTAAAAGCTTTTGTTGTTTCTTCTGACTAAATGCAACATAACCATATCTTTATCTTCTTCATTTTCCATCTCTTCAGTATAAATCATATACTTATAGTTCTTTTCCTTTCCTTTTGGTACCGAACGTGGTATTCTTTTCTGAATGCTTTTGTCTTTTGCTTCAAGCTTGTTCTCTAGCTCTTCACGTTCTGCTTTATATAGTTCATCTAACATCATGAAAATATAACAAGCATAACGAGGTGAAGCCCACATTGCTACGACATTTACTAAAAGTCTATGAACATAATATCCTCTCAAACCAGGAGCCAAATTCTTGCGATTTTCGAATGGAATCTCTTCCCTCGGTTTTCCGAGGAAGCAAACATATGAGGAAATTCTTCTAAAAGTTCTTTTGTCTGTTGGTTTTCAAACCAATGATATGCTGCTTTGTAGAACGAAGAGCATTCAAAATACTTTGCATTTGGTACATATCGTCTTTGACCGAACGAATGAGACGGAGTTGTTTGTTAAACTGTATGTACTCATATTTCTTCATTTATAGCTTCATGGACTATAACTGTTGTTGTTTCTCGGTTGTTGACATATCTGTCTTTTACATACAAATAAAAAAATAATAAAAATAAAACTAACTTTATTTTTTCTGTCTTAAGGAAAACTCATGATTTTTGTGCTGAATTCAATAAAAATATAATTTAGGGTAGAAGGTTAGATCTAACCTCTTTTTTTCACAAGCGTTTTACATGGTAAACGTTATTTTTACATGTATTTTTCAGCAACTTCGTCAAATAATTTTATAGCTTTATCTATCTCATCTACTTTCAAACGTTTCTTTACCTTTTATGGAGCACCATATATTTTCTCAAACTTTTTCAAGTAGTTCTGTTTCTGCAGCTCTCATATCATTAACCAACACAACCTTGACTCTATTGACTGTACTGTCATATCTTAGAGTTATATTATATGTTCTTCCTATCTTATATCTTTTTGTGTTGAAGTCCTTCGGTTTCTGAACGATGTAAAGTAAGCCTTCACTGCAACGTTCTGAGTCGAATAAACCATATGTTATGAAGTTATATCCAACAACTGGGTCTAACCATAACAAAACTATTGGTATAAGACTTTTGTCTATAAGATATGCTGTAGTTCCATAGAATCTTACCGATATCATAAGCTCAGGATTTCTTGTCAAAATTTTCTGACTAGAAGCAATTCTAACCCAGTCCTTTGCTTTCTTTCCAGATGGAGATAAAATGTCTGACAAAGAATATTTGTTGTATTTCTTTGAGTATCTTACGTTTAAATCACCTATTCTAACCACTTTGGTGTCATTGTCTATCTTTCTAACTGTTTCAAACTCAATGTTTGACATTTTTGTTCTTACATACAAAATAAAAAAAATATTTTATAAAAAACTAACTTTATTTTTTCTATCTTAAGGAAATTCATGATTTTCATAGAGTTTTGGCGACTACGTTTTCTTACGTACTCGCTGTTCTTCATGATTTTCATAGAGTTTTAGGCGAGTAAGATTTTCTTACCTACTCGCTGTTCTTCATGATTTTCATGTGTTTTAGGCAAGGCCGGTAAAATCCGGTCTAGAGAAATTTTACGATTTTCGTACGGAATCTCTACCCTCGGAAAACCGAGGGTAGCAAACATATGCCATTTTACTCAGATTTTTGTGCTGAATTCAGCAAAAATATATTTTAGGGTAGAAGGTTAGATCTCACCTCTTTTCTAACCTCTTTTCTACCCTCTTGAATTTGTCAAGACTTCATCGTACATGTTTTGTCATGATTTCATCGTACATGTTTTGTCATGATTTCATCGTACATGTTTTGTCATGATTTCATCGTAATGAGCGTAAATCAGACAAAAATATATTTTAGGGTAGAAGGTTAGATCTAACCTGTTTTCTCACCTCTTTTCTACCCTCTTGAATTTGTCAAGACTTCTTCGTAAATGTTTTGTCAAGACTTCTTCGTAAATGTTTTGTCAAGACTTCTTCGTAATGAGCGTAAATCAGACAAAAATAAAGTTTAGGTGAAGAGGTGCGATCTCACCCGTTTTCTCACCTGTTTTCTCACCTCAGTTATTTTATAAGCGTTTTACATGGTAAACGTTATTTTTTAAATTTTGTGAAAACTCAACGGTTTGACACAAGCCCTAAAAATTATTTTACTCAGATTTTTGTGCTGAATTCAATAAAAATAAAGTTTAGGTGAAGAGGTGCGATCTCACCTATTTTTTCACCTGTTTTCTCACCTGTTATTTTATAAGCGTTTTACATGAATTGTACGATGTATATTTGAAATTCTAAACAGTTTTGTAGCTTCTATTTCTTCTGTCAGTATGTCAAAAGTTTTAACGATACCGAAAGTTTCTTTATACTTCTTCTTGACGTCAGATAGAAGGAAATCGTCAGCAGTTGGATAGTTTTTGTTCAGAAATTCTAACATGTCCATTTTATCTTCTGCTGGTTTTTCTGCTTCTTTCTTTAAATCTGCATAGTCGTTTCTCATACGTTCTATCTCTTTGACGGAGTAGTTATATTTCCTAATTGCTGCTTTACATTTAGAACATTGCGGGTTCATTTTTGCGTTATATTCTGAAACCTTACCAGCTAAAACAACTAAAGCGTCAATGGTTTTCTTTAACTCAAAAGTTGCTGGTTTTATTTGTTCATTCCATACCTTACCTCTTCTATCTTTATCTCTTATCTGCCATACACATTCAGCAACTAACGAAACAAAGTTGTCGTAGGTCTTAAACTCCCCAGATTTATATATGTCAGAAACATTCTTATATACCATGTCGCAATCTTTGTCCATAACCTTATGGTTGCAATGAAATCCTAGAAACTCATAATTTACCTTACGAATGAACTTCTTTATTTCTACTGAGTCAGTTGCTTTGACTTCTATTTCATCGAATTCAGGAATAGTGAGTTTTTGTTGCTGAATTTCAGGTAGTTTAGGCAAATGGTCGATGAGGTCCTGCATGTCATAAAGATACTGTTCATTTGTTTCATCTTTCGCACTACAGTCTAAATTACATGTTAAAAGTTCTTGCTTTATCTTCTGGATTTTTGTTTCAAAAGTATATGAAGAAGGAATGAAGCTTTTCATTTCTACTAACATAGATGTTGGATTCATAACTAACGAGTTTGGTGCTGTTGTTGCTAACATGTTCTTACAATAAAAATAAAAAATATTTTTTTAAAAAAACTAACTTTATTTCATCTGTCTTAAGGAAATTCATGAAAATTCAACGGGTGAGAAAAGAGGGTAGAAAAGAGGTTAGATCTAACCTTCTACCCTAAACATTATTTTGTGCTGAATTCAATAAAAATAAATGGTTCATTTACTCACAATATTTTTTTACAAAACGACCCCAAACTTTTAACTTCTTTTCTGCAGCTTCAAATGCTATCTTAGCGAGTTCATATTCTCTAAATTCTCTCTTTAAATCTTCTTGTTCCCATTGGTCTAGTTCGTATGGAGAATCTCTATAACCATAACATATCTCACGTTCATGTTCTAATTGTTTTCCGCACATTTTTCCAACTTCTTCTTCAAACAAATGTTTTGCATTTTCTACTGTATCTTCAAGTTCTTCTTCATCTAACTTCTCATGAACTTTCTTGTCTATGGAGTCCATAATTTTTCCAACTGCTATGCAATATTTTGGAGAAGCCCACATTGCTATATAGTTTATAAGTCTTGGGTCTACATACGTTCCTCTAACCTGTCTGATTTCATCAGGAATTCCTGCATGAATTTTGTATAAAAACCAACCGCCGGAATTCCGGCGGTTGCTATATTCTTCACAAAATGCCTTATAATACTCTTCCCAGGACTTATTTTCCAACAACTTTCTAAAGTCTTTCCTAAACTGCTGACACATATTTGTTGCATTTATATAACCATCCTTGTCTCTACGTAAGACTTCAATACCGTTATAAGTGCCTTTCGTGAATGTTTCGCCATTATATTTGTTCGTGAATGTTTTTGCTTCGACTGACATATCTGTCCTTACATACAAAATAAAAAAAAATAAAAAAATAAAACTAACTTTATTTTTTATTTCGGGAAAATTCATGAAAATTCAAGAGGGTAGAAATGAGGGTAGAAAAGAGGTTAGATCTAACCTTCTACCCTAAATTATATTTTTGCTGAATTCATGAGTTTTGGTTGAAAGAATACGGTGGAGCCAAAAGTGGCTCGACCTCAAAACAAGCATTTTGTGAAGAATAATACAAAATTCAACGGGTGAGAAAAGAGGTGAGAAAACAGGTGAGATCTCACCTTCTACCCTAAACATTATTTTTGTGCTATGTTTTCTGTATAAAATTCATGAAAATTCAAGAGGGTAGAAAAGAGGTTAGATCTAACATGCTAACATAAACATTATTTTTCAATACTTTTTCAGCACTTTTCCGTAGTTATATATGAAAGACAATTCGAGATAAAAGTCATAGTACAATGGAATAATATGTTGCACACCATTTGTTGTGAACCAAACTTGAAAGTCAGAGAAACTGTTACTAGGTGGTTCGTAGAATTTAGAAGCAAAGTCATAAAAGTCCTTACCAATACATAGAAAACTATTGTTGCTTGAACTGAAACTTGCATGACACATAACATTTTGAGGGTCAAACACGTTTCTATAAACTGTCAAATCTGCTGGTGGAAGTATAAATTTAAATGGACCATCTGGTGGTAATGGTTCGTTCTGGTTTAGTAACCGAAGAAATTGTGCCCAAGAACGTTTGTCTACTTTCCAAAATAAAAACTCTGTATCTCTTGGAGGGTTAATTTCAATCTTTTGAAATGAAACGGTGGAGTTCATCTTGTCATATTCTAGTTTCAGATAGTATGTTCCATTTAGTAAAGAGTCGTATTTTTCTTGAAATTCCCAATAATATTTGTTCATTTGAGTTTGAAAGTCATTTAGAGTTTTCTCAAGACTTTCGTCTGAACGAACTGTAAAGATTCTCATTTCGTCAAATTTGTCTATTAGACCATCATGACCTTTATACTGCCCATGAAAATATACTGCGAACATAAATGCGTTAGTTCTATTTGAAAACAAAACTCTTCTAAATCCTATTGCCTTTGCATCTGAAGGACTTTGAAGCCAACGAATTGGATAGTCAAACCTGTATATTCGGGATGAAATTTCTTCATCTGATATTGTCCTACCAGCATTTGTAAAGATATAGTCTAACGGTTTTGTATCTGCTACTTTTGTTCTTTGTTTTTCAACCTGAAGCATTTAATATATGTAAAAATATATTGTTTTAAAATAGTATGCCATTTCATATTTCTCATCTAACAAACAAGTTTCCCAACGGTCTTCTCCAACAAACTCAGCGTACATTTCAAATAATTTTTTACTTCATGCAATGTTTTATTTCTGTGCCGTCTTCAAGTATGCCCCAATACTTACGCTTGGAGAGGACATGAACTTCGGAAAATACCTTATCTAGCTTAAAACAGCCCATCTTTTCACCGACCATGCCCATTTCAATGAGTTTGTTGTACCCTTCTTCGTTCGTCATGAGTGCGTCAATGTTCTCATAGTAAACCACAACTTTGGATTTGACTTCGGAGAAGAATTTGTTGTAGTTGTCAAGGACTGCCTTTGCGAACTGAGGGTAAGACCAATGTTCGACAATAGGTTTTAATGTGGTTACTAAGCCACTTTGACCTTGAGTGAATTCGTACTTCAAAACAAAAGGAGAAAACCTTTCAACAAAGTTGACCTTCTCATAATGTTTACTCTTCATCTCTTGAGGTTTTTTAATGGAATATCCCCATGTCGAATTCATAAGCAATTTGAGTGTCATTGCAAGTTTGGGGTTTGAAGCTTTCCTAATATCATACAGTTGTTGTATGACTTTTCCAACTGTATAGTTCCTTCCCGGGAACTCACCATCTTCGTTTGGAATTCCAGTCGGAATATATTGGACAAACCTCATGTATGCAGCGTTAAGGTCGACATAGTATATCTTTTCGTTTGAGTCGAACTTGTCGCAACCAATTGGTCCAGTTTGTGAAATTCAAGTGAGTCTCTTATCTTCTGAGAAACTTCTCCTGTTATCTCATAAACATCGTCGAAGCAACCTGTTTCATATAAAACCTTCTGACCTAACTCAGATGCTCTCCAATACAATTTGACGTCAATTGGATGTCTCAATGGAAGTTTGTTTATAGCATCTTGAAGTTCTTGCAACCTCATTGGAAGTTCTTCTGGTTCAGGTTGGTATCCGAACAATCCAACTCCTTTTGGAATTGTGTACTTCTTTGTACTAGAACTTTGTCTGGAAACTTTTGGTCTTGCTAACAATGAAAAGTTTGTTTCGTCTTTTGGTACAAAAGTTTCTGTCAGCTTGTCATCTGGAATTGGTTCCAACAAACCTTTCTCGAAAAGAATGTTTACAGCTCTGACAATGTTGCACTTGCCTTTTCCGAACAATGGGTTTGTAAGACTTTCGTTCAACATGAAGTGGTTGTGGACAATTGCAATCTTCAACCATGGTAAATTGAACTCAACAACATAGTCGTCATGTGAAGAACCTTTAGCTGTAGGTATGTTGACTCGGATATTGACATTTGCCAACGGTGCAATTTTTGCCAATTGACCTCTGAGAATGTACCTTGTCTTCACACATGACTCAAGATACTTCATCTTCTCATCTGTAACAAGACCAGAGTTCCTGAGACATGTAAGAATGCAAGGTTCATTGACAATTGTTTCAATTGAATTGTAAATTCCATACCTTGTCAAGTCAATGTCAGACTTATTTATGAACGGGAAGTATCCAGCATGTTGTCTGACTGCTTGAGGGTTAGGTTGGTACCATTCGAACTTGACACTTGCAATTCCTTCAATTGCATTCAAAATGTCTGAGTCGGAGTCAAACATTTGTTCTCTCTTTGTAGTCTTGAAAGCGTCAAGAAGCATTGCAGCTGTTGTGACATTGCCATGTGCATAGTAAATGTGACCATCCAAATCTGTTATGGTCAATCTGAGATTGTATCCTTTCTTATTTCCGTCTTGTATGGCAGCAAGTACACCATGAAGCCTTCTTTGTTCTTTCCTTCGTCAAAGTTTACTGTAAAGGTTCGACCAGATGTAATTTGACTTCTAACTTCACGATACTTCTCATATGCATATCTTGTTCTTTCCATGGGAGCATGACCATCCTCTGCACTACCTTTTTTCCTTCTCAAGGATGCAATTGTTCGTCATGTTTCCAGTAGAATCTGGCAAAGCGTCGTGTCCTTCAACTTGAGGTTCACTAACATCGAAAGGCATGTCCATAAGACGTTCTTCTTCTAACCTCTCTAGTCTGTTTGGATAATTGGCACGTGCTGTTTCCAAATCCATTTCGTAGGTCAGACCAGCCAGTTTGTCATAGACTTTTATGGGTCTTCCTTTCCTATATTTAAACTTCTTCGAAACTCTCCAACCATATCTTTGCAACTCTGCTTTTATTCTAGCAGATTTTCTATCCATTCTATATGGGGGCATTTTTATAAAAATAAAAAAAATTTTTTTTTCTTTACTTTACATAACCGCCTGCTGCCATAAGTCTTTGACGCCAACCCATACCAGCTAATGAAGGTTGACTTGGTTTAGTTTCCAAACTAAACTTTGGTTTTGGTTTATCTTCAGTTTTTGGTTTTTCTTCTTCTATCGGTTTTTCGTCACTTTTCGGTTCCTCTGACTTTTCCCCACCTGCAGGAACAGTTGTGTTGTCAACATCTTCATAAATATCATATGCCATTTGTTTTTGTTTTCCTTTCAACTTTTTGTGTTTGTTGTAAAGTTTAGAATATTTCGACTCTAAGTCAATGAGATGTTCTATAATGAACTGTTGGTCAGTGAAGTAAACTTTTCCATCTGTTGTCTCTGCGGCTCCTTCAGACTTCAATATTTTATTTGTGAGAGTCTGTTTCTTTTTTGAGATACTAGCCGTTCCATTTCTATGAAAAGTGACTTTGTAGTTAGGGTTTGTATTTCCAGACCTGGCACTTTCTATTATTGAATTTTTCTCTTCATCTGTAAGTTCTTTGACAGGTTTTGACAATGGTTCTGAACTTTTTGTTTGTGGTGTCAAATCTACCGTTTCAACTTCTTCGGTCATTTCATCTCAGTAAAAAATTTTAGTTTGGTTTGTTTTCAACTGGTTGTTGTTGTTTTTTAAGTCGTCTAAAACTTCCTGAGGTATAGGAAGAACTTGACAAACACGTTGTGTAACTGCTGGAAGTCGACAAATCCATCTTGAACCCATTTGTCTCAATGCTGTATTGTTCATTTCATCTCAGTAAAAAACTTTACATTCCCCACGTTTGAGGCGGTTGAGGTTGGTTATTGTTTACCCATTGTTGTGCATGGTTATATCCTCTGTTAAAGAATCTTTCACCTTGGTCCATATAGTGTCCTGCTTGGTTATAGTAGTCATTTGCTTTGTTATAATAGTTTCCTGCTTGTCTTCCTACATTGTCCATCCATCCTTGAACTTTTCCTCTTGTTTCAGGATTTGGAATAAGATTTGCTGCATCTCGTGCTACATCCCAACCTTTCTGTACAGTTTGTATAATAGGTTGTGCTTTCTCTTTAAGTATACCTAATGTACTCAAAATCTTCCTTCCAACTCCAAATACACCTCTGGCTATTGTTCCAACTGCGGGCAAAAATCTGGATGCAACTCCTGCTAATGCGCCAAATAAACCCATTTCTTATGGGTTAAAAAATGACGAATCCAAACAAGGACCCCTATGTTTCTAAAGCGACAAAGAAAGCACTCATGGTAAAAATCTTTAGTTCAACACCAAATGCTTGGTTTATGGATATCTTGGAAAATTCCGAGGTATAGAGAAGATGGACCACCATACTGGCTAATATTTGTCGGTCAAAACACAAGATACTGTGAAGCCATACCATTATGGTCCAAAATATTTTAGATGTGAAAACTGCTTTGACAATATTCGTTGACAAATACCATCCAACAAAACTGACATCTGACTGTGAAAGTTCTTTCAAATCAGATGATGTAAAAAACTATCTGCGTTCAAAAAATGTAAACAATATTTCATTGTCGACCAAAACCATTCTGCTCTTGGTGTCATTGACGGTTGTATAAAAATGTTAAGAGACTTAAACCAACCACAAGGTGGTGAAGCAATGAAATGTCATATGACGACAAGTATAGACACTTCTCCATGGCAAAGATGAGACAAGTTTTAAATATTTACAATAGCCGTAAACAAAAAGGTTTGGGAAACCACTCCCCGAAGAAATGAAAAACAACCCTGACTTAGAGAAAGACTATATATTTAATAATTTAGTCAAAAGAGACAAACAAGAAAGAATGCCGGGCTTCAAACTTAAGAAAGGTGACAAAGTAAAAATAGAAATACCTAAACGCGACCCATATGAAAATACTATTGACTATGACAACAATGGGAACTCGACAGGTACTCACATTCGTGTTCGTAAAAATAGAAGAAAGTATACAAGAGAATATTATGAAGTTTTAGGCAAACATGGCAAAATGTACAGACTGCAAGCAGAAGATAAAACTACTATTGTCAGACCTCGTTTCAAACTTGTCAAAGTTCAAGGTGGTATACTTTCAAAGACAGTTCCTAACAAATATAAGACAACTCCTGACCAATATGCTAAAGAAGTTGAAAATGACGACTAAGCAATTCTATACCATGCGTAAACTGTCATGTAAGGTGGCATGTATTCTTTACTTTGTCCCGTTGTTTGCGTATACCCTGAAACGCGATGTGTATGGTTTCCATCTCCCTGAGTGTCACCCCAGAAACAATTTATAGCAAACTGAACGTCGTCTTTAACATCATATCCTTTACCTTTTTTCATTGCTGACCAATCCCAAAATTTATGCTTATGCCAACCTGCTTGAGATGTACTTAAATCTATGTAGTGACTGTGTGCAGGTAAATTTTCACCTGAAATCGTTTTACTTCCACCTGTTTCCTTTGAAGAGTTTGCACAATACAAAAACCGGTCGACTATTTGTTCCCATGCACCAACACCAAACATTACTTGAGGACCTCTTGCTTCCATAGATGTATAAATAGAACCTACTGGGTTCATTAAATCAAACATATGAGATATTATAGGATTGTCTCTTTTGAACTTAAAATATAGTGCAACTATTTCAGGTTTCTTCTGGTTTGTGTCAGAATATTTTTTATAATATAATCTTATGTTTTCAGGGTAGGTAAAATCTTGACTATAATATTTATTTCTGTCATCTTCATAATAGTATACTATTCTCGTTTTTTTTATTGCATTATATCTTTTATATCTATAATATTCTAAATATAATGTTTGCTTTTTTGGGTCTACATGTGCGTCAACACCATAGTCATAATAATATGGTGCTGGAGCTGGGTTAGGTAATGTCATATCTGTCATTTCATAAACTCTTAAATATTTCTTTTGTTCGTCTCCATATAAGTTTAAGTAGCAGTTGTTGTCTAATGGAACTTTAACTTGTGTACCATCATTCTTTATATAGCCTACATACATTTCATTGTTATTTTTCGGAATGAGTTTATACCGTATACCATTTTTTAAGGAGTGTACAAACTCCCATCTAAAATATTTGTTTTCTTCATTGACAGAAAAGTCACCAACAATAGTTTCAATATTTTTCGTTGTTCCTATCAACTTTGGTATATTTCATTGACATATGTTTTATCTGCTTTCTTTTCAAGGCTAACGTTTAAGTCTGTTATTTCAGAAGATGTATGTGTATGTCCAACGTCACTTTTCCTGTTTAAGGTTTCTTGTAAGTTTGTAATATTTGCAATGGTATGTGTATGTCCAACGTCACTTTTACTGTTTAAGGTTTCTTGTAAGTTTGTAATATTTGCAATGGTATGTGTATGTCCAACGGCACTTTTACTGTTTAAGGTTTCTTGTAAGTCTGTTATTTCAGATATAGAATGTGTATGAGTCTTTTTAGAATATTCGTTTTCAGCTCTTGTCACTTCACTTGACATTTTATTGTCAACATATGTTTTGTCTGCTAGTTCAGGATGAGTATGTTCTTTTGTTGCATAAGCATTGTTAGCTCTTTCTTCTTCTTTTGCTATTGCATCGTCTACATATTCTTTGTCAGCTTTGTTGTCAACATCTGCTTTCAAAAGAAGTTCATTTATAGGTTTCTCGTTTAAAGTTCCTTTTGTTGGATTTATACAGACAGTATGGTTCTTATTGTCTTGAAACAGAAACTCATCTGTCATTGGGTTTAATGTCAGTTTTAAGTTTCCTTCTTTCAATGACTCAGATATCTTAGAATAGTTTGAAAAGTTTGTTGTGTTCTTATTTAGAGCTTGCATAATGAGTTGTCGGTTGTGTTGTATTTCTCTCATGGAAGCAATATCTTTCGACATTTTTATTCTAGATAAAATATGCTTCCAATAGAAAAGAAAATTCAAGAGTTGCTACAACTAAACCATTAGATGAACTTTTTACTAATGTCGGTCAAAAGTTTGAGACAGAGACCGTAAAGCATGAAGGCTATCGTTTTGACTACCCATTAAGATGGCTAAGAGACCCATCTGTCACAAAAGCTATTGGCTTTCGTAGAATGAAGTTTGTGTCTGTAGAAGATAAAAGTTTTCCATTTATTGTAAGGTTTCATATAGATTATATATCTGAAGGGAAACGAAAAATGTGGGAAGAAATTGAGCTAATACAAGTTGACCTTTCATCTTCTCTACAGACTGCGTTAAAAAATATAGAAGATAAAATAAATTCATGTTATGCAAAATATGCTGATGAATATGCAAATACCGAGAGCACACTTTATGTGAGAATTGTATATGACAAACAAAATTCACAAGTGTCATTTCAAATCTACGAAGACAATCCAAAGAAAGACGAACAAATATATAACAGAATTCACTGCAATGTCATGGTATTATTTGCAAAGAATGTTAAATCAGAAAGTCGAACTTCCTTTAGCAAATATTTACAGTCGATATGCAAGAGATGAACCATATTTATTTAAAGATGTTTTCGACCCAGCTGCTATTATTGTTCATGCTTCATTTTCTGGCGCCCAAAACTCTTTCTTATGCTTGGCAAATGACTTTTACGAAAAACCTACAAAGTTATACGAACCACCAAGTGGAAGTATTTCAGACTTTCAAGTATGGTTTACTACAGATGGAAGAAAAAGAATAATTCCATTATACCATGCGTTTTACTTAGAACTTAGTTTCATATACAACTACTATCGAACGGTAAAAATATAATTTTTTAATACGGTTGAGGTGTTGGATTTGGTTGCCAACTAGACTGTGGTGCAGGTTCAGGCTGTTGTATAACAGGAGCTTGTTCTTCTGGTTCAGGGTCTTTAGGTATATATACCAACAAACTGACCTACTCTTTTACCAATATTTTTGACACCGTTCCAAATTCCTCTTCCTACGGTTTTTATTCCATTCCATATACCTCTTCCAACATTTCGAAAGAAGTTTCCTATCTTACTGAAGAAACCATTTTACTATATGTAAAAATCTAATGTCCGCCTAGTCTCTTACGTTTCCTGTTGAGTTCCATAGCATTCTTTAACTGGAGCTCATACATTCTGTTTCTCCTCTGGTAGAAAACATATTTGGGTCAACTCCTGTGTTTGCGTCATCTGCATAAAGTTGTTTATATCCCACTTCAGGGTTTGTATAAAACTCTTTCCATCTCATATTTGCATACCATGGTGGCAAACCTAACGCAGCGTCATTTGACATGGCAGTTTGCATTTGTACATCTGTTGGCACTTGACCATAGTTTGCCATTGCAGTTTGTATTCTAACTTCATTTGGAATATTCTCTGGGTTTGGTTGTCCAGGTTGCTGTGCATTCGCTAAGTTCTGTGCGTCCATTTAATATTAGATAAAAATATCTCTTACGAGTCATATGCTGAACATTTGCAGGCATTGGTTCATCTTCATATTCTCTGTACTTTTCTGCCACGTCAATAAATAAATGACACAATGGAAAAAACCTAAAACAAGTAGTCCTATTTCAAACCACATTTACTTACTAATAAAATTTCTTTATTGTGACACTTTCTCCAGTTTATAGGACCTCTCTCATATTCTATCTTGTCATATATAAACTCATAGTCATGTATGTCCTCTAACCATCTCATAACGGTTTCCAAACCACTTTTATCGGATGTAAGTAAAAGCATGGATGGTTATGTAAAACGTCTAAAGTTTCTAAAGAGTCTCTCAAAGTCCAGTCTACTTGGTATTGAAAATCCCATGTGTTATAGAACGGCGGGTCCACTATAAAGAAACATTTTCCTTGTCTTTATATTTTTCATACAAATCTGTCCAATGACATCTCACAAACTCTATACCCTCAATATATTTTTTCTATGTCCTCTTTGAAAACATTTGTATAGTTAAGATATAAAACTTTGACATAAGTGTTTCAATGTCATGAACTCTTATAGCACCACTATATAATAGTCTAGCAGATATACTATTCCAGTCTATATATTCTGCTTTTTTCAAAAACCTTCTCTCACAATATTTTGTTATCTAATGGTATACGTTCCATCTTACCTATAGGTATCTTTTCTTTTAACTCTTTCAATATATTGTTTGTGTCTGGAATATGTTTGAGACGGTCCATATAGTTGTCGAAGTCATTGCATATAATCTTTGAGTCTGGGAATATTATATGGCACAAATGGGATATATAGAAACTTCCACCGAACAAATCTACAAATGTTAGACCATTCGGTAGTTTCTTAAGTTCTCTCAATATAATATCTTTACATCTACTCTTATTTCCAAAGAACGGTAACGGTGGTTTTGTAAAATTCATTTATATATAATAATAAAAATGTTTTTCCCGAAAAGTGACAGAAAAGTGACAAAACATGAAAACATATATAATTTGTGAAAAGCTCCTGGAAGACCCGTATATATAAGAACTTCATTTATAATAATCATCTTCAGGGCTAGAGGGCGCAACGCGCCTGGAAGCCCCACTTCCTTTTTTTTTTTTTTTTTTATATTAGTGATATTCATCGAAAGGCTAATACTAATAGATTGGAAAATCCTGTATTTAAAGCAATAAAATTTTTCACTTTTATTTCTGATAGCCTCTGAAAATTGAAGCTTAAATTGAAAAAGTGTATCAAGAAATCTATTATTATTTTAATGTTTTTAGTATCCCTTATTATGTCTCTTTTCAGCACCCCCTTAACAACTATAATAATCTTCATCCAATGCTTCATATTCTATTATATAAACAGCCGAGAAATTAGTTTAGAAAGTGTAGCGTGTAATCCAATATTAGTTTTAGACAAAAGGCAATATTGGAGAATAGTAACTGCTAGCTTTTCTCATTTAGCTTTGAATCACCTAGTAACTAATATGATAGATTTTTATGGAGTTGGGATATTAGAAAAATATTTAAATTTTTCAGATTACTTTAAATATATTGTGATTCTTATAATCTTTCCTTTAATTATTGATTCATTAATACGAAAACACTTCAATATCAATCTCCGAATATTAGAAGTTGGATTTTCAGGTGTTTTATTCGGATTACACCCAATTGTTGCTAGTTGTATGTGGTCAAAAAATATATATATACGATATGTATTTTTATATTATCCGATTTTCAACTGTATATTAATTTCTATTTTTGCTCCAAACTCGAGTTTCCTTGGGCATTTATCCGGATTAATAATTGGATATTTAATCACATGTCACGCTTTTGATTGGATTACAACTCAATTATTTTGGAATGTTTTCCCATGGATCGTTATTTTGATGCTGATTAATTTTAAGCGTAGCTATCCAGAATGTTTGAAGTGTTTTAAAATATCTAAAACATCTCCTCCAATAGTCAGATTTGGAGATCTTATTCTAACACCATAATTCTGTTTCTTGCAATCTTCTTCTTATATTGCAATTATAATACAGTTGATTTCCTTATTTTAATTTTTATGATGACTTGGAGAAACTCCATTTATTTTTGCAGAAGAGAAATATATCATTATAATAAAACAAGAATGTAAAAGATAAATATGTTAGTGCACGAGAATAAAATGATGATATCTCAAGAAAAATGACAAGTCCTAAATTCGTCTAAAGTTTGTCCTTGATGGCCATTCGAGAACCGTAAAAGCTGCAAAAATCATCTCCACTTTTGATTATAGATCCAAGGTGATGTGATTTTTGCATCCCTGGGATGGACGATACACCCAAAGTGTCACCTTTTTTGGGATAACATGAATTTTAAATATCATGAGAGTTCTGCAAACCATATGCACAATATCTATTCAGCCTGACTTCTTGTATATATGAGTTAGACTTCTTAAATATTGTGCTTGGGGCGATATAAGCATTTCCGAGATTACCATCGTGCTCTATAGTATGCTACTTCTCCCTGGTTCTAGCTCAGTTCCAAGGATATTGGCGTTCAAGGATTTGGCAAGGTCCTTCCGAAGTCTCTCATTCGATGAGAGATTTCGGAAGAATCTTGCCTTAAAGTACTCCAACTCTTGTTCTTTTGTTCCTAAATAGTGAGAAAAGTTATTTGACTACTTAAGGTAGAGATTATCCGAGGTCCCTCATTTGATGAGAGGCCTCGGATAATCTCTGCCTTAAAATTGTACACTTGTAGTCCATGAGAGTGTAAGTATACATTGATAGGACAGCTTTCTTCTGAAGTCTTAGATTGATGAGAACCTCAGAAGAAAACTGTCCTATTTTATAGTAAAAGGAGTTTCAGGAGCTCCAAAGCTCCCTTTCGTAAGGATTAGGAGCTTTGGAGCTCCTGGTTCGTAGATGTGTTTCGCATCTTTCATCAGCAAAGGACATTTACCATCTGGGACTCTGTTGATGGAGACTCAGGAGCTCCAAAGCTCCCTTTAGTAAGGATTAGAAGCTTTGAAGCTCCTGGTTCGTAGACGTGTTTCGCATCTTTCATCAGAAGAGGCCCAAATGGTAAATAGCCTCTGCTGATGAGCTTCAGGAGCTCCAAGGCTCCCTCTCGTAACGATTAGGAGCTTTGTAGCTCCTGAAGATAAGGTAGGATTGCTCTGATCTCTAATCAGTAGATGCCATGCCTCATTATGAACTCTACTGACAAGAGATCAAGAGCTCCAAGGACTCCCTTTTTAGTTAGTGGCGTTCTCACCATTTAGTAGGATTGCTGATCCTACTAATGAAGTGATCACTTAGTATACGTTTTGAATAAATTGAATTTTTTTTAGAATTTAGTATTTTTTATAGACATCACATGTATATTATAAATACATAAATATATTCTTTAATTCAAAAAATTCAATTCGGTTTTGGGATGGGTATCCCAGCCCCAAGTATTCAATTTTATTCAATTTTTAAAGAATTTTGGGTTGGGATGCCCAGACCAAAACAAGCTTTATATTTTGATGTGTAGATACGTATGTGTGCATCATTGTTGTGTTATATATTATGTTTTTAATGAAAAAAAAATCTGATTCAAAAAAAATTATCACTAATTAGTTGATAATATAAAGAAAAAATAGATAAATTGTATGTTTTGAGAGTATTTATCCACATTCACTCATATGAATTTCATTAAATAGTGTCTTTTTACTCCCAAATTTATTTTGAATTATTGAAATCAAAGAAAAAAAATCAGAAAAATTTCTCGAAATTTTTATTTTCAAAAAAATTGGATTTTATATTGAAAACTGACACTGGGAGGACGATAGGGCTGGGATTGGAGATACCCCGCTCACTTGGGAAAAATACGGATCTATACTTTTGATCGCTGTTCGCTCTCACGCATTATAAGGTTCCTGCGAAGAAGTGGAATCCCGACAGCATTAGCGACCAATATTCTAATCATTTCATTTTATTTTGTTTAAAGAATACATAAATAGTTTTTTAGTGCCTGTTTACGCTTTTTGCCGAAAAGTTGAGATTGAGATACTCTTCATTTTGCCTGATTTCTCGATTCCGTCTTGTAGCCATTTTTGTCGGTAGATACTACAGCAATATTCCGTGTGCTGCGGTCATTAGCCTCTATGAGACAATCATAAGATGTGAGTTCTTCAACCATTTAAGATAAATGAACTTATTGTCAATCAAATTGATGTGTTCATATAATAATGCAAAAAAAATTATTAATAATTTGTTTTTTTCTCAGCATATATTAATCTTTAATTATCATATCTAATTGCTCTTTCCCAGCCTGTTTCCCTTTTTCGTGGTAGATGGCATTGCAGCATTCCATATGCTGCGTCTACCACCATTAAATGATCAATAATTCTTCTGTTCAAAAGGTAGTTCATAACAGAGTGATTGTATTCGGTTATAATCACCAAAAATCTAAGAAGTATCAGATAAGCTTCAATTTGGAGAGTAAAAGCTATCTTCTAAATCGGGTGAGGAAAAAAAACTTTAAATGTGACAAAAAGTAACTCTTTTTGAATGCTGACGGCTGGTATGACTGTTTTTAGAATCATTGATATTTGCATCATGTGAAATGAGAAATTCTGCAACTTCTTTACTATAGGGTGTCCAAAGGTGTGTTTAGCACAAACCTGAATACTGCGAATAGAAATAAACAAGTTACATATATATAAAGTTTATTTAAATATAATCACCATTGGATTCAATCACGCGTTCGCAGCGATCGATCCAGGCTTGAAAGACACGCTTTAAATCATCATGAGAAAATTGCTCAAATTGCTCTCTTACAAAATTTTCAAGATCATCTGGACTCGCGAATTCGCGTCCTTCAGCTCTCTTTTTTAGCGTGCCGAATAAATAAAAGTCAGAGGGGGCAATATCAGGTGAATAAATTGGGTTTGGAACAACTTTGACATTGTTTTCCACCAAGTAATTCATTACCTTATGACTTTTGTGAACTCTTGAATTATCAAAATGAATTGCAAACTTTTGTTTTTGTTGTTTGGATTTCTCAAACTCATCAGAATTGATAATTTGAGTAAGAACATTGTCAATTAGATACTGAGCATTCATCGTATTAGGTTTTTGAAGAATATCAATTGTGATGATGCCATTCACGCCCCAAAAAACCGACAACATCATCATTGGTGTGTCAATTTTTTTCTTCGGGAATGTTTGCGGATTTTCATCCTTCGGGATCCACATGATTTTGGCTTCTGTTGCATATTGAAACCAAGACTCGTCCCCTGTTACTAAAAAGCGAAACTTCTTGGATTGATACGCACCCAATATAGAGAGGAGCTCTTTCGAAGATTGGACTCTAGATTTTTTTTGAACTGAATTAAGGTTGTGCGGAACCCAACGTGTATACGCTAGTTTGTAGTTCAAATAATTGTGCAGATAATAACTGACTGTTGTACGTGGTATCTTTGTCATCTCCTCTATCCTTCTGAGTGATGCTCTTGGGTCTTCATCTAGCGCTTGAAGAATTGCTTTGATTTTTCTTTGATCCGGCGATTTTTTGTCAATTTTTATGATGGGCGCCTTTTTGTTCATGAAGTGATACATCCTAACATGATACGTTACAGTGGAATAGCTAGGAGCATCCATACCGAAGCATTTTACCAATGTCTCGTAGATTTTTTACAGTCTTTGCATTTTTTTGCAAGAGCGAGGATGTTTTCTTTATGATTCATTAAAAAAATGAAAAAAATCCCGCCAAAATTTCCCGCGAAACCGCCTCTTGTCTCAAAATTCATTTTATATCCCGGCATGGCGCCAAAATACAACATACTCATCATATACATATATTCATATTTTTTATTATATATTTATAATCAGCATATATCTCCTTTAATAGTCTCATATAGAGCGCTGTGCTAAACGCACCTTTGGACACCCTATATTAAAACATCTTGCAACATCAAGAGCGGTATCTCCATGATAATCTTTTTCATTGATATTTGCACCGTGAGAAATAAGAAGTAAGGCTATTTCTTTATTATTTGTCATTGCTGCATTATGAAGAGCAGTTCGTCCATATCTATCTTTATAATCGATAATTGCACCATGTGAAATAAGAACTTCAGCTGTTTCTTTACAATTATTTAATGTTGCATAATAAAGAGCGGTTTTTTCATTGTTACCCGTCTCATTGATATTTGCTCCATGCGAAATGAGAAGTTCGGCTATTTCTTTACAATTATCACATGATGCACGTTGAAGAGCTGTTAATCCATTAACTATTATATTGACATGTGGACAATATGAAAGGAAATATTCACAAAAGGATGGAATATTAAAATTAGGTGAATAAGCTAAACATTTGTAAACATCATGGTTTTGATCGAAATATACTAAAAATGGTTCAATATTATTAAATTGCGTACAGGATTCTAAATTGATCTCTAAACCATATTCATTTATCAAGAATGTAACAAAATCAATGTTGTGTGAAATAATTGCATATTTCATGCAATTTATATCTGGTTTCCGATATTTCAAACATTCACTCAAAATCTCTTTGCTTCTTCCTAAAAACGAAAATCTCAGACATACATCAGTTATTTCTGATTTAAATTCTGTTCTTAAGAACTTGAAACAATCAATAGCTCCATGGTAACAACATAATTCAAGTAATGAATATTTCATGGATGGATATGGATATAAATCGCTATTGAGTTTTTGATCTTTATCAAATCCATCTATTTCTGTGAATGCAATTAATTTTTCTATGTTATTATTCATAATTGCTTTGAAAATTGTATCTTCTGAATGAATTTTGAGATTATGTAGGTTATTTGTTTCTAATTTTCCTGTTTTGTCCAAATTAATTCCATATTCTTCATAAAAGAGGTAGTTAGAAAGATTTGTAATTCTGGACACATTTGTTACACGATAATCATCAGAAATGAGTTTTGCAAGTTTCAAGTATGACTTTGTATACCGATTATTGTACTCAATGATATTTAAAATGTCTTTTATAATATTTTCGTGAGGATGTTTCTTTGAATCAATCAACTCTGTTTTGATCATTTTGTAAATTGAGTTTAAATCTTCTTCGCTGTCAGTTTTTAACTGATACAATGCATTATATGAATCAATGTAATATTGAAAGACACTTCTCAGTTCACTGTATTTATCTGTACGAATGTCTTGATTGGACATTTAAAAAAAATATTTGCATTTTATCAACTAAATTATCTCTGCAATTCACTATGTGAAAAATATCATGCTATGCATGAGGAAAACAATTACTACAAAGATTTCGGATAATATTTTAAATTTTGATTAAAACAATAAAATGAGCCTTCAGCATAAATTACTTCTTTCAATAAATGAAGAAAAGATTTTACTTCATTAATTTTCGGCACGAGATTTTGTAAAAAGTATAGTATCACTTGTGATTAGCTCTCGGAGACAATTATATTCTAAAAAGCTCACTATATAAAGAATGACTCAAAAAATCACGATTTCAATTGTTCTCGAAATCTATAGCCTTGAAATGTATATTAATTTTACTAGATATAAGCTTTTTGCAATCGTCCTTATTAAACGTATATATATATATTCCTCCAAAGTTCTTATAATTACATTGAAAGGGAGGATAAGATCAGCTTCCTCTCTGCACGCCGATAGTTATGAAAATAATTTTAGATACATGATTGAAGAAAAAGAGACTCTTATTCTTGATGATTTTGAAGTAGGATCACAAATAGTAGAAGAAGAGCCATCATATTCAATGCTCGTATCAATAGAAAACTTCCCACAAGAGCAGCAATTGTTTTGGAATTCAATTTATGTCGAACCTGTAATCAAAAACAATTTTGTTGTTGTAAGAATGAATTTTGCCGAAAATAGAGATCAGATAACTAAATTTGGAGAGATACATCCAATTGAATCAATACCATCATTATATTATTTTGCTCCAAATTCTAATCATACAGTTACAAAAGTATGGAATAACTATCCACAACCAAAAACATTTAAATCATTCTTTAATATGGAAGCAAATACGAAAAATGCAAGTGATGCGTCAAAACCAGGCAATGCTCCGGTTTCGCATATAAATGAAGCAATATCTGTAATTAAAGAAAACCAAAATACTTTTGTTAGACTTTCAATTCAATATAAAGATCAAACAATTAAAGAGCAATTCAACAAATCAGCTAAACTTCAAGAGTTATTCAACTTAGTAAATACGAAATTTGGTCCAAATCATCAGATAACAATTTTTCCGAACAACAATTTAGTTCCTAATGATCCAAACATGACATTTGAAGAAGCGGGATTATTCCCATCCGCAAAACTTGTTATAAAAGATAATGGCGAACAAAATTTCCAAACCACTTTTGATTTACCTCAATATTCAATTCCCCCGGCTAATGATCAATCTGAATTGTTAGCAGCTAATGAACGAGGAGATTTTATAGATATTGTGCCACAACCAACGAAATGCTGCAGTGTATCTGGTTTATTTATTAAAATTTTCTCATTTTTCGATCCATGGACGGAATTTGAAGAGAAGGAAGACTTCTTCGAGGTCAAAGCATGTAATAATTAATATCTTTGTTAATAAATTTATTGTTTCGAGCTAATATTTGATATTTGAACTTTTCATGTCTTATATCTGAATATTGTTAAATGTGTAGTTCACCAAATTTTTTGGAATCTCGCTCTAATAAAGATAATAAATCATCTTAATCAGTAGTCAAAAATTAGTAGTATATGAGTGCGGGTTTAGTGACTTTTTTTGTTACATCTATATATAGACGGATGCATTAAAATATATTTATTTATAAATCATTAAAAAATTAACATTAATTTTAAAATAATTTATTTTTTATCTTTTATAAAAGAAGTTATATATAGATGATGTCAGATATTCCGCGATTAATTAAACATTGTTTAAATCCTGAATGGGTTAAACTTCAATTTAAAAATGAAGATTGTGAATTATTAAATGAATATGAAAGCCAAAATAAGCTAATGAGGTATAAATATAATGATAAAGAATATTTAATTTCATGGAATCAATGGAGTCATAATCAAAGACCTCATAAACGAGAAGAAGAAATTGAAAAATAATGAAATGGAAATCATTGATGACATTAAAGAGGATGGAATTCCTAAATTTTGTAGAAAAACCTTTAGAACTAAGTTAGGAGCATATAAACGTAGAGTATTAAATCCTGAATATCTTAAACATCAATTTAAAAAGGAAGACTGTGAATTATTAAACGCTAATGAATATGAAAATGCTAAATCAAAACTGAGATATAAATATATTGGAAGTGATGAAAGGTGTAAAGATAAAGATAAAGTTTATTCAGTTTCATATAATAACTGGCACACGTTAGGGATAAGAAAACATTTAGGAGATTATGGTAAAAGTTCTGAATTCTTCAAATCTAGTATATACGAGAGAGTAAAAGAAATTAGAAATAATTATTTTCATGAATAAAAAAATAAACTTTAAAAATTCATGTCTTACATTTTTGAATAATTTATTTTTTAATTTGTATGAAAATGAGTGTCAAGACTAACGACGTTAAAAAATTGGGATTCACAAATGAGGAAATAAAGGATATATTAGAGGAAGCGGGTTATGAGGTTAGTAAATATTATTTAAGAAATTGTCAAAAATTCGCGGAGTTTTTAAATGAGTTTGATTATGATAGAAAAATGAATAAAGATGATGTTATAAATTTCTTATATCCCACATCTGAAGAAGAAAAACCTAAAGAACCTGATGTTTTCCCTGAATATTATGAAGAACGGATTAAAGATGATGAATATGATGAAATTGAAAGACTGGAAAAAATAAGAGATGAAATAGATGAAAAAATTAAGGAATTAAGAGAAGTTGAAAAATATAATGAAAATGAAGTAGAGGGTTTAATGAATATCCCAGCTTCAGAATCAGCAGTTCAGAAATCTCATGAAGAAAGATATAAAAATTATGTCTCAGAATCAACACAAAATTTATTAGATGGTGAAATAGACGAAACACTTTCAGAAGAAGGTACTAAATTTATTCGTAAACATAAGTTACAATTTATTGACGATGGAGATTATCCATGTATATTACTTTCACTCCTCTTGATTCTGAAAAATTCAAAAAAGCACTGAAAAATGTAACATATGCAACAAATACGATTAAGAAAGAAGACCATGATATTTACACAAATTATTATTTAAATAAATGCACAGGTGTTGATAAAGTTTTTGATTTATTAGATAAAATATCAAAAGAAACCATTGGTACATATAAAATTTTGTGTGATTGCGGTTTCATTATTGAAGATACCAATAATGTTTCATATGAAAGAACAGCACCGAAGGAAGACGAAGTTGAAAGGTCTATACCATTCGTTATTAAGAACATAAAAGATATGAAAACTTATAAACATTATATTTATTCATTTATTTCAGAAAAAATGGAAGCAACCCATAAAACATCATCTCATCATTTTATAGCTATTCATACATTCCTTTTCAAAGTTGTGAAATTAAATAAGACAGGAATTAGATTTAATGTATCAGGGTACGCATTCTTGAGTAAATTAAAATGTATTCGTCACGTCGCAGATGATAAAAATTTATGTGTTCTTAATTCATTTTATGGACTTTAGCCCTGGACTTTAAAAAATAAAGTTTATTTTTATTTATTTTTTTTAATTTTTATTCTTACATAAATGAACAAAAACGGAACAGCTAAAATGAATGATAATCAAATTAGAGCAGAAGGTAGAAGGTTATTTAAACGCTTCTATAACATTCCTGATGGTGTTAATCCTAAAACTCGTAGAAGTTATTTAAATGAAGCCATAGATGCATATGAAGGATTTGACATTTCATCAGAAAGTGAGAGGTTAGCAAGAATGTTAAACGTTAATATTGATTTTTATTATTGTGACCCTCAACCAGAAGACGTAGACATTAACAAGGTAGACTTTCCATTAGTGGAATCAATAATGATAGATCCAGAATTTGAAACAGTAAATATTTTATTAACACAGAGTCCATGTGGAAAACTTCACGCTGACAGAATAACAGACGTTGAAGCACTCACAGGATATAAAGTTTGTCCATATTGCAAAGAAGAAGTTTATTCTCTCCGTGATGATCCAGAAAGGAAAAATCAAAGAAGATTTTTAAAACATTGTGAGAAATGTAAAGAAAATAATGGAAGATTAATTCAAGACGTTCAATTGCAAAACACACAACAACCATATGCACCACATATCACGAAACAGAAGATATATCAATGGCTATTAGCACATAATTTGCAGGAATATTATAAACCAACAAGATATTATATTACTTTTGACTTCGAAACATTAGAGACTAAAGAAGAACTTCAACTTTCTGAATGTGCAACTTTGAACGCTTACTTAAAACCATTTATGGTATCATCAACTGTCAAAATAAAGCCGCAAAGCGGCGAGGTCGTAGACCGTGATAAAACATTTACGAGGAATTTTTGCTTAACATCAAGTGATTCTTTTATTTCTGATTGGATTGAGTTTTTATTTTCAACCTGTTCATTAGTTGCTAAATCAAATATTGAACAATATGAAGAATTAATGAAGTCTCATACATTAAATGAGAAACAAAAGGAAGCAATGAAAGAGCTTTTAGATGAAGAATTTAATAAAGTGAATATCATAGGTTTTAATTCGGGAAAGTTTGATTTAAATTTAATTCTTCGTGATTTAAACACTGCAAAATGGAAAATAAAATCAATGCTGGGTTCATCTTCTCAATTTAAGCAAATCATTGTAAAGAAAACAAACTGTCCATATGAATTAAGATTTATTGACATCAGAAATTATATAGCGGGTGGAACATTAGACCAATTCACTCAAGATTTCGGAAACAATAAATCACGTGTTAAATCCTTTTTCCCTTATCAATTCATCACGGGAAAATTACGAAGAAGAATTATATAAAAAGGAACCATTCACTCAAGATTCATTTTATTCAGCATTAACTCAAGAAACTATATCAGATAGTGATTATCAAATATATCTCAATGATGCTAAAAATTTTAAGAATAGATTAGAATATTTTATTCATTATTGCAATAAATGTTGAAATTATGATTGACCCAATTGATAAAATTATTGAAGAAACATTTGTTTATAAAATTGACATGCTTCATAATCTTTCTTTATCATCGAATGCATCAATGATTCGTTACGCTTTAGCATATAAAGACTTTAATCCTAACGAAAAATATCCAGAAGAAGAAAATGTGGAATCAAGTTTTGAATTAACGAAAAAGTATTGGAAATATAAAATTGAATCATATAAGAAACAAGATGAAAAAGCAGAAAGGGATACTAAAAATAATGTTTCAATGGATGACTATCAATACTATCACGATTTAATCCTTTCATCTAAATGCAAAATGTGTGGTAAAGCGTTTACATATGCTAATAAACCAACATTAGATAGAATCGATAATGAAAAACCACATACCAAAGAAAATTGTCAGTTAATGTGTTGTTATTGCAATGTCGTAAAATCAAATAAAGATGAGGATGTTCAACGTTTAAGAATCAATTTAAGAAATTATACATTAAAAAATAATTTACCAATGACTTTAGATTCAGTTGAAGCTTATCACATTCTCCGTAATGGAATTACTGGTGGTTTATCAAATGTTCAACATAGAGTAAATCTTAAAGGAATCACGCACATTAATAAAATTTCATATAATCCAGAAACTAAAACTGTATCAAATGAGGACACCACCAATATCATGACTCATTTTGTTGGTGTTGATTTTAATTCATTATATCCTTCATCATTTTCATCTAATCCTCATGATTTCATTCAATATACTAACCATAAAATGTATATGCCGGGAAGATTGAATGGTGTTATCATTTGTGATACAGCAACAAAGAAAGCAAAAGCACTGGGAATAATTAGAAAGAAAAATACTTTATTCGTGGCTGAAGTAAAGGGTCACATTGATGAAAAATACATTAATGATTACATAAACTTTTTACCGATAATAAGAAACTTAGATATTATCACAGATGAAAAAACAATTGGCAGTTTTATGTATAATTACATGAAATCAAACAATCTACCAGTTGACCAGAAACAGAGAAAATTAACTCAGTTAGCATCAACACACAACCAATATCAACCATTTTCTTCTTATTATCTTTGGTATCTAATAGACAGATTTCATTTTATCATTGATGACATTCAATCAATTTTAACATTTACGAAAAACACTTGTTTTAATGAATTTGCGAACGAATTTATGAACGAAAGACAAAAGGCTGAATTAGAAGGAAATAAAGGAAAAAGTTTATTTTGCAAGATTTCACTTAATGGATCATATGGTTACGATGCAATGAATACACAAAATTACGCAAAGACTAAAATAATGAATGCACAGAAGGCACGCGTTGCATGTATGTCAAATAAGTTTAAAAACATAAGAGAAATAGGTGAAGATACGTATCAAGTGATGCTTAAAGATAGATTTTATAGATGTGATACATGTTTACAAGAGGCATTCTTCACTTTAGATAATGCTAAATACTGGTATTTGGTTTTCATTTATGATTTTATGTATAAATGCATGGATGTTAATCGTTTTCATTTCATTGAAGGTGATACTGATTCATCTTATTGGGCAATCGCTGGCGATCCAAGTCTTCCTAACACTCAAGCATTTCAAGCAATTGTTACTGATAAACAATTTTATGATAAAAACATTTACAAATTCGCACCTTTTGATTTCTTCTGTTTTGATGAGAAATTTAAACCTAAATTAAAGAATAAAGCTGAAGAAAAAGCACATGAGAAGAAGTTATTGGGTTTAGCAATTGAGAAACAAGGTGATAACATGGTTGCTTTATGCCCTAAGTGTTATACATCATTCAACGGTTCAATTGATGGAGGTGATTTTAAAAAGATTGCACAAAAAATGAAAGGTGTTAGTTTACGACAAAATAAACAATTAACACCTAAAAATTATTTGGATATAATAAATGATAAAGTGATATTTGATGGTCAGAATATTAATTTACAACTTAAAAACGGGTCAATGACTCGCTTAACAATCGGTAAGACTGCATTAACAGGAGCACACACTAAGACTGTATGTTGTGAAAATGGATGTTGTATGCCATTTATTTAATACAATTTAAAAACGTAGGGGTTGAGTCATGAATTTAAAATTTTATTTTTAATAAAATGCCACAGAAGAGACAAAAGGAACTGTTAATGATGCGATTCAATATGTAAATAATGGTTTTGATACTATGATTCAAAGAGGTGGGCACCCTTAAAACATTTATTTTATTTTTATATAAATGGATAACGCAGATTTAGAAAATTTAATTTATGATTTAGTACTTAATCAAAATTTTCTTAATTATTATGAATTAAAATCATATCTCCAAAAACATAATAAAAATATAACGGGTGATGATATGGATTATTATTATTATTCGTATTATAAAAATGAAATTTTGAAATATCATGATAAAATAATTTCTAAAATTAAAGACAAAATTAAAAATAATGAATATACAAAGGGAAAAACTAAATCACAACTTAAACAATTGAAAGATTTCAAAAATAAAGTATTAACAGAAGAAGATATTGATGAATTATATAAATTATATAATCCTGAGCCGCAAAAGCCAAAGGAACAAAAGCCAAAGAAGAAAAAGCCGAAAACAACACCAAAAGAGAAAGTAGCAAATGTTCAACAGCTAAAGGTGCAAAACGCCCAGGTCCTTCAGACCATAAATGATGCACAAGCTTTAATTTATGATTCATTAGTTAAACCATATTCAGCCCGACTTTTAAATGAAGATCAACTTTTGGAATTCATCCTTCAACATAAACTCGAAGCGGGAAAGTATATCAAACCTTTATATACAGCATATTTAAAACAAATGAATAGAATACATCCAGAATTAATGAAAGGAGGAATGAAATCCAAAACTTCATCATCCAAAATCAAAGCAGATAAAATTAAATCACTTGCAATACCAAAACCTCCAACGGTAGTACCTCCTCCTTCAGTTAATCCTTCATCATTCACTTTATTATATCCATTTCAAACATTAAAGAAGCAAAAAGATTTTAAAAAGGATTTCAAAATATTAAATAAACCAACTGACCCAAAAATTCAACCGTTAAAGGAAAAATTTAGTCGCCCTTCATTTGCACCATATCCATATTCATACGAAATCGATCATTTAGAATATTCAAGAGGAAACGTTACTTATTTATTTGCCATTAACATTAACACCAGATATTTATATTGCATTCCGGTGAAAGGGAAAACAGAACAGGAAACAAGAAGAGCTATTCAATACTTACTAGATCATGAAAGAGTAGATAATATAAGGGGTGATGGTGATAAAGGATTTCAGGCAGCTATGGCTCATTATTTCCCACAAATTAATTTTTACTTTTCATCCTCTCCATATACGTTTCATAATAAAATAGTTGATGCGGTAATGAGAACTCTTAGAGATGCGTTAGGGGTTAATGGTCAGATATACTGGGATGGAAATCATGACTCCATCATACAGCAGTTAGTATATTATTACAATAATACATGGCATAGAACTATAAACATGAAACCAGTGGAAATGAAAAATGATATTTCAAAAGAATGGAATATATTAGAAAGCAAATGGAAAGGTTAAATGATGTTAAACGTGAACAAATTAATTCGGGGCTCATGAATTTTAAACAAGGAAATAAAGTTTTGATTCATCTCGATTATGGAAAAACTGATAAATCAATGACAAAAAGAAGACGAAGATTTGACACAATAGCTGAATTTGTTAGATATATTAACGGCAATGCATTAGTTGAGGTTAACAATAAATTAATAGAAATTCCGATTTATTTTATTACTCCATTATATTTAAATAATATTTAATTTTTTTATTTCGTAAGAAATGAGTGACAACGAAGCATCCAAGAGTCCAGACAATGAATATAAAAAGAAACTAAACAGAATTAAATCAAAAATATGCTATTACAAAAAGAAGCCACAATGCGGTGAGGTTGAAAACGATAAAGAAATAATCGAAAAATTAGAAACTTATCGTTCAATCCTTAAACTGAGTGAAGCAAAAATAAAAGAATTTAATAGAATAAATAAATTGATTGGAAGAGATGAATTTAATAAAGATGAATTTTTAAACTCAATCCAAATTTAATTTTTATTCCTCTTCGACAACATCTCTCTTTCCATCATTACTGCATAACCACATTTTCTCAATTTTAGTGGTTTGTTATTTTTAACATGTTCTTGCATCATTTTTATCATTTCCTCCCTTGTTATGATTCGTGGTAAATTTTGAGCTTGTGGAGTATTCATTTATGATAAAAATAAAAATTTAAATTATGCCGTTTGCTCTTTTGGAGCTCAGGACTTTCAGTCCGTTCTAAAGTTTGTGACAACATGACATTTTGACAACAGTCACGGAAATGATTTGTCATGACTTCATCGTAATGAGTGTAAATGACCCAAAAATAATGTTTACGTTAATGGTTTCAGGTCATTCAATAATTAATTATTTTTGAAGAACTGAAGGTGTCACTATGTCACTCAGTGTCACTCGGTTATTTAACTTCTCTGAAAAAATGAGACAACATGACATTTTGACAACATAGTGGGAAATAAATGTTTACGTTAATGATTTCAGGTTAATGTTTACGTTAATGGTTTCAGGTCATTCAATAATTAATTATTTTTGAAGAACTGAAGGTGTCACTATGTCACTCAGTGTCACTCGGTTATTTAACTTCTCTGAAAAAATGAGACAACATGACATTTTGACAACAACACAGGATTAATGCAAAAATAAATTCCAGTCATACTTTATAAAGCTAGACCTTCAGGTCTCACCGCTTAGCGGCTCATTTACAGGTATTTCATCGTCAGTAAATGAATCCTCATTATCGTTTGGTTCAACCTGTTTATATAATCCTTTCATTTCTTCTTTCAAAACATAACACCATGTTTGTTTACCATCTATTCTTCTCTGTTTCTTATCACATTTATCTTTAATGCTCATTTGAAAGTTTTTGTCTTTCATGTCTGATGGTTTGCAGAATAGAGCATTTTTACATGTCATACCTGCACACAATTCATCATAATGTGTATTTATCCATACATCTAAAGGATTTGTTGATAATTCAATTAAATCTTGTTTGGCTTCAGTCATCGGTATGATTCGTACATCAAATGATGAAAGGTCATATTGCATAAAATATGTTAGTAAATTATCATAAAATTCCTTAGTGCATGAATCCATTAAATTCTTGAAGTAATCAAATTGACCCTTAAATTTACCATTAACTCTTAAAACTACGTATCTTCTGTCTCCAACTTCAATTTTGACAGGGTAAACGTTATTAGTTACGAAAATGAAGTTTGCAACGTTCTGTGCTGTTCTTCTGGGTTGATTCTTTTCATTAATTCTAATCTCATTATCCGTTATAATTGATTTCAAAGCGTTGAAGTTTGCGAGTCTATCTTCACCTACATTCTTGAGTTCATTAAGTACAAGAAACATTTTATTCTCAACTACTGAATTGAAATTACCCGTTAGCTCACTTATTTCAGTAATGTTTTTGCATGAATAACCAGCGAGAAGTTCAGAAATAATGTCTGTAAATCTGTTTTTACCTGTTCCCTGAAGTCCTTTCAAAATAATTGCTGTTTCATTCTTGATTCCAGGATGTTGAATCATTGATGCAATCCAGCCGAGAAGGTATTTATACACTTCATCGTTATTATCACAAATGGCTTCTTTAATGAAATTCATAAACATTTCAATTTTTGAGTAATCTGGTTTTTCGAGAACGTTGTATTTATAACCTTGAAACGTTGAGAAAACATCTGGAGAATCAGATTTAAAGCAAACACCCTTAACGGTTAATGAAGACAATTGATTTAGTAGTACATCCCATGCTGTTATGGTTTTACCTTCTTCTTTAAATAATTTAATCATTTTGAGTGACTCTTTCATGTTTGATTGAAGAACGAATGATATTTGATTCATTTTGTCGTGTATGTTGTAATCTTTTTGAATGAAATATTTATTTCCACAATCTACAAAACGGATTACACGTGATAAATCCTCAATTACTTCAGAACTGTTTTTATACTGATGATTTTCAGCCTTGCGTCTAATATCTGTTATCAAAAACGAGTCATCAAGTTTTATATCAAATGTTATTTTTGGCTTACGTAATAAAGGTAAAACATATTCATCATAATATTCCTTTTGGTATAGTTTTAGAATCTTCACTAAAACAAATGGAGAAGTCATTAAATGTGCATATCTACTACGTGCTTTTTCAAAATTACTTTTTGCATTTTCTGTTAAGCTGCAAAAGTTATAAACGTTATCGTATGCTTCATTAATTAAATGATTAGGTAACGAATTAATTGCTTGAAACAGTGTGAATAATGTAACTTCTTTTTCTAAATTCATATTTCCACCGTCATTATGTACTTCAAAATCACTAATACCATCAACTATGCTCTGGGCAAGTTTATCGTCAATGTTTACATTTTTGTTTTCATTCATGATAGTCTTTATTTCTTCGTTCTTTTGTTCAACTCTTACCTTAATATTCAAATCATTTAATATATCATTCACTGTTCTGGTTATGGTCGAGTCGTAACTTCCACGAATGAATGAGTATGTTTTGATTGGTTCTGTTGCATTCTTGCGAACTCTTGAATCAGCCATAACTACTAAAGAACGCTTTGAATCATCCATAGAAGTCATGATATCAATATCATAATCATTGCAGGAATAACATTTAATCATTCTGTTCGAGGTTGAATAGAAGAAATTAGTGTTACAATAAATGTGAAGACCTCCAGAAGCGGTTTTAACGATAACATCTTTATCCGAAAGTTTTGATAAAATATCTTTTCTAACTGTTTCTTTAAGTTCATCATTGTATGATTTATTGATATCAACATCTATAATCGTTAAATTTGATATTTTATTTACTAATAAAGCCACACCAGTTTTCCTTCCTCTTCCTCCATCATGTTTGAGGTAGTTATGTAAATCAATCTTGTTTTCACCAATTCTTTCGTTGAGGGTTTTAGTTTCTGCCACAACTAATTCCTCAGCTAATGAATCAATAACTTTTTCATCAGAAACGATATAGTTGCTGTTGTTGTTTGTTGCTGTCATTTATATAGGAATAAAAAATAAAAATAATTTTAAAACTAACTTTATTTTTGGACTGCATCATATTTCCTGTGATGTTGTCAAAATGTCATGTTGTCACATTTTTTCAGAGAAGTTAAATAACCGAGTGACACTGAGTGACATAGTGACACCTTCAGTTCTTCAAAAATAATTCATAAGTGCCTTCCTCCTGTGATGTTGTCAAAATGTCATGTTGTCACATTTTTTCAGAGAAGTTAAATAACCGAGTGACACTGAGTGACATAGTGACACCTTCAGTTATTCAAAAATAATTATTTTTGAATAACTGGGAAATAAATTTACGTCAAATATGCAATTTATAAAATCTTATGTCGACAGGCTACGTAGCACAGTGGTCTAAGGTGGTGTTATGGAGGGGTCAAGGTCTGTGGTTCGAACCGCGACGGCGCCGTATTTTCTTATTTTCTTTGTTTGTCTTGTTTGTCGTGAATAAAAAGTGTCATAAAAGTGCTCTATCTTCCACGGGAATAAATAAAAAATTTACTTTATTTCTTCTTTATTTCTTCTTTATTTCTTTGTTCCCGTGGAAGAAGGGTTTTGCTGTTTTTTCTCAGCCAAAATCAATGATTTTTTCATTTTTGGAATCCTTAGCGAATGAGGAATCTTTTCTCTCGTGGAAGCTTTGAACAAAAATATATTTAGTTCATCATTGAACTCTATACCATGCGAATACAGTCATAAATGGTGGCATGTAATCTTTACTTTGTCCCGTTGTTTGTGTATATCCTGAAACGCGATGTGTATGGTTTCCTTCTCCCTGAGTGTCACTCCAGTAACAATTTATGGCAAACTTAACGTTGTCTTTAACATCATATCCTTTACCTTTTGTCATTCCTGACCAATCCCAATATCTATGCTTATGCCAACCCGCTTGAGATGTACTTAAATCTATGTAGTGACTGTGTGCAGGTAAATTTTCACCTGAAATCGTTTTACTTCCCCCTGTTTCCTTTGAAGAGTTTGCACAATACAAAAACCTGTCGACTATTTGTTCCCATGCACCAACACCAAACATTGCTTGAGGACCTCTCACATCCATAGATGTATAAATAGAACCTACTGGGTTCATTAAATCAAACATATGAGATAATATAGGATTGTCTCTTTTGAACTTAAAATATAGTGTAACTATTTCTGGTTTCTTCTGGTTTGTGTCAGAATATTTTTTATAATATAGGGTGTCCAAAGGTGTGTTTAGCACAAACCTGAATACTGCGAATAGAAATAAACAAGTTACATATATATAAAGTTTATTTAAATATAATCACCATTGGATTCAATCACGCGTTCGCAGCGATCGATCCAGGCTTGAAAGACACGCTTTAAATCATCATGAGAAAATTGCTCAAATTGCTCTCTTACAAAATTTTCAAGATCATCTGGACTCGCGAATTCGCGTCCTTCAGCTCTCTTTTTTAGCGTGCCGAATAAATAAAAGTCAGAGGGTGCAATATCAGGTGAATAAATTGGGTTTGGAACAACTTTGACATTGTTTTCCACCAAGTAATTCATTACCTTATGACTTTTGTGAACTTTTGAATTATCAAAATGAATTGCAAACTTTTGTTTTTGTTGTTTGGATTTCTCAAACTCATCAGAATTGATAATTTGAGTAAGAACATTGTCAATTAGATACTGAGCATTCATCGTATTAGGTTTTTGAAGAATATCAATTGCGATGATGCCATTCACGCCCCAAAAAACCGACAACATCATCATTGGTGTGTCAATTTTTTTCTTCGGGAATGTTTGCGGATTTTCATCCTTCGGGATCCACATGATTTTGGCTTCTGTTGCATATTGAAACCAAGACTCGTCCCCTGTTACTAAAAAGCGAAACTTCTTGGATTGATACGCACCCAATATAGAGAGGAGCTCTTTCGAAGATTGGACTCTAGATTTTTTTTGAACTGAATTAAGGTTGTGCGGAACCCAACGTGTATACGCTAGTTTGTAGTTCAAATAATTGTGCAGATAATAACTGACTGTTGTACGTGGTATCTTTCTCATCTCCTCTATCCTTCTGAGTGATGCTCTTGGGTCTTCATCTAGCGCTTGAAGAATTGCTTTGATTTTTCTTTGATCCGGCGATTTTTTGTCAATTTTTATGATGGGCACCTTTTTGTTCATGAAGTGATACATCCTAACATGATACGTTACAGTGGAATAGCTAGGAGCATCCATACCGAAGCATTTTACCAATGTCTCGTAGATTTTTTTACAGTCTTTGCATTTTTTTGCAAGAGCGAGGATGTTTTCTTTATGATTCATTAAAAAAATGAAAAAAATCCCGCCAAAATTTCCCGCGAAACCGCCTCTTGTCTCAAAATTCATTTTATATCCCTGCATGGCGCCAAAATACAACATACTCATCATATACATATATTCATATTTTTTATTATATATTTATAATCAGCATATATCTCCTTTAATAGTCTCATATAGAGCGCTGTGCTAAACGCACCTTTGGACACCCTATATAATCTTATGTTTTCAGGGTATGTAAAATCTTGACTATAATATTTATTTTTGTCATCTATATAATAATATACTATTCTCGTTTTTTCTATTGCATTATATCTTTTATATCTATAATATTCTAAATATAATGTTTGCTTTTTTGGGTCTACACGTGCGTCAACACCATAGTCATAATAATATGGTGCTGGAGCTACGTTAGACAATGTCATATCCGTCATTTCATAAACTCTTAAATATTTCTTTTGTTCGTCTCCATATAAGTTTAAGTAACAGTTGTTGTCTAATGGAACTTTAACTTGTGTACCATTATTCTTTATATAGCCTACATACATTTCATTGTTATTTTTCGGAATGAGTTTATACCGTATACCATTTTTTAAGGAGTGTACAAACTCCCATCTAAAATATTTATTTTCTTCATAGACGGAAAAGTCACCAGCAATAGTTTCAATATTTTTCGTTGTTCCTATCAAACTTTGGTATAT